GAAATGCTCGTTATCTTTGCTGTGTATGTAATACAAATGATTTTTGACTAAAGCAATGAATCGGGTTAACATTAGGACTCCCAGAATTCAGATACCACTACAACTCCCACTGGCCATCGGTTTGACTGGTGACATTTTTCCCAATGGAACGAAAGAGTAGTGATGATGTCATTGACTGAAATGGTTCTAGGTCAGGGGTCACCAATTAAAAATCAGCGAGGTCCGAATAATGAAGATCAACAACCAGTAAAGGTCCAGAGACATTTTTAATTATAATCTGTTACTTTTAACTGAATTTAACCCTGAAATGAAATGAGGTGTTTATGCATCCATGTTATACAGCCACTTCCTACCCAGTCGTCCTCATCGATTTCCACCCGAATCTCGATCATCATTGATTTTGAAGCATTTCTAAAGCCTTTTTCGTGGCTACATTTTTTCTGAAAGCCATTTTTCCGAATTAGCCAAAGAGTTCTAGGTAGAATGTTGGTTGCTAGGCAACAGTAGCAAATGTCAATCAACCGCAGGAAGAATTTACAATGCATCTAATAGTCGCCAAAATGGTGGCTGCGAGAGAACGAGGTCAAATTAATATTTTTTACATCTATATTTTATAAATTAAGTGAAAATGAAGGAAATATAGAAACAGGAAACGTCAATTAACATGAGCAACATATGATTATAGTAAATAAGGTTCTTGCCCTTTAAATTCTCAGAACTGTCAAAATAATGGAGTTCTTGTGGTAATCGCTTATTGAAATAATCAAGTAATTAATCGATTGTTAGCCGGAGTATAGCGACTGTAAGACATGCTGAAAGAAACCCACTTAGAGCAGAAAATATAACAAAATTGTAAAAAAAAAAAAAATTAACATTTTCCATTTCAGACAAAAACATTTTAGTATATGATCTATCCAGAACTTAAGAGGAAAAGTTTTATTTTCACTTTGTTTAATTTGGTAAATATTCTTCTTTAAGGAATTTGAATTGAGAAAGATTTCTGGATAGGAAGAGAAACGTCTTCAAACTTGGAAAACAAACTCCAGTGGTTTTTTTTTAAACTTTTTTATTTTAAATCTTTAAGGGACCTTCGGCTATCGGATTATTAATCGAGAAAAAGAATCATTTGATTAATCGATTTGTGCAATAATAGTTAGCTGCAGCCCTAAATGGGTTTGTTGCATATTTGTAGTACGTTTTGTTTCTTTTATCCACTGATGGGTTTTGGATTCCAGGTTCTTTTGCTCTGATAAAGGTGAACCGTAGACTGGATGCCAACAGGTGATCCTTGGAGTTGGAACTGAGGCAGAAAAGATGCTTAATGAAATAGTGTGTAACACCAGCTGTCTACAACTAGAATTTACTGGTTTTAGTCAGATATCATGGAGGCCAGTTAACTTTGTTTGGCTTCTTTTGTTCACCTGCAATGCTTCTAATCCCATTTACAGGGGAACAGAAGACCCCACCTATTCAGCCAGACCAACAATTCACTTTAAAGACCCCCCGTTCAGAGACATAGACAGGTATGGGGTATTACAGGCTAACAAAAGAATCCAAACGACCCCCATTCCAAAGGGGTGGACCCGTCAATTTCAATTTTCTAAACAAAAACAAGGCTCTATAAAGCCTCAAACTCAACGCTATTTCTGACATTTTGAATTTAAAAAGCTTCCTGGATGGAAACGAATCATCTTCAAACTTGGAACCAAAGTCCAGTGGATTGTTTAACTTAGTCTAAGCTAAGTTAAGACTAAGAACATAGTCTAAGCTGATTTTCTGGCGCTGAATGGATCAGAACGGAAGTCTCTCTGCTTCCAGTGACGCTTGTTTCCTGAGCAGTGGGAAAACCTTTCAGCTGGAGAATGGGACAAGTTTTTCTGTTAAAGATCTGGCTCCAACTCTTCCTTCAGCAGAAAGCTATCAGGTTGCTGGAAACGCAATCAGCCAACCCTAATTGGGTTTCAGGGGTCTTGAACCCATCCAGCGAGTTCAGGGTCTTTGGATTTCTGAAACTTAGTGGAGCGTTTCCTCAGGTTGGAAGGTTTACCATCTATCTCTGTGCTTCTGCTGCTCTGATGTCATGGAAGGATCCTCCTTCAGAGGGTTAAAAATGACCCGTCTGGAATCAGTTTGTGGTAGACTAGAGATTTTCAGTTCATAATTTCTCTAAAAGGTTTTCTCATTTCATTGGGCATGTATGCATGGCTCCTAATGACCCGTTTGCTTTCTTGTTTCAGCATCTTGTAGGGCGACTGATTGGGAAGCAAGGGAGATATGTAAGTTTCTTGAAGCAGAACTCTGGAGCAAAAATCTACATCTCCACTTTGCCTTACACACAAGAGTTCCAGATCTGCCACATAGAAGGTGAGAACAGAAAACCAAGGAAAGCAGACCTGCTTTTAAACAGCGTGACGACTAAAGGCTCCCCCTGTCTTAGGCTGCGTTCACACTGCAGGCCTTGATGCTCAATTCCGATTTGTTTTTTGTGAAATCCGATTTTTTATTTTATTTTTTTTTGCGTTGCCATTTATATTTCCAAATATATGCGACTTGTATGTGATCTCCTGTGTGAACTGAAGTCATACAACACAAGTGTCCCGCATGACATCACAGGCCAGCGTGCTCTCTGTTTACTTCACGTGAATCCGACCTGGCCGTTCAGACACAGGTTGCATTTGAGAAGATCAGATTCGTATCGGATTCAGGACCACATAGCCAAGTGTTTTGGGTCGCATTGGGAAAAATCGGATCTGTGTTGTTCAGACTGCCGTTAAAGGATCAGATCCAGGTCTCATATGGGCAAAAAAAAATCGGATTTGGGTCACTTCAGGCTGCAGTGTGAACGTAGCCTAAGTGTCAGATTACCAGGGGGAGTAAAATGCTCAGGGCTAATTCTGCTTCATCTGTC